ACACACACACACACACACACACACACACACACACACACACACACACATATGTACTATAAGTTCCATTACTCTAGACGGGCATGGTAACATCCCTGGAGGTAGACACTGACCACAGAGGCAGAAGATAACCTATGAAAAGCATGTGTGTGTGAAGGAGAAGCCATTGCTCTCGCAGGGTCCTGAAAGACTTCCCCACTGATCTGCCCTAGGTACTCCACAGGTATCCCGAAGGCAGTTCACCACACGCCAAACAAGTCTCTTCCTAACCTGCCCACCCTGTCTCGGCCTCCAGAGCCTCCATCTCTGCAGCCCTTCCCAGCCCCCAGATGAGTTCTCCACCACCGGGGTCCTGGGACTCGGATACGCTTTCCTTAAATTCTGCAAGGGAAAAGCTTTAGTTAGCACAGGCAGAGGAAGATTGTCGTTGTCAGTTAACTAGGGGAGTGAGTGCAGAAGGGGTGAGAAACAGTGTCCAAAGCTGCGGCTTCCAACCTGAAAACACAACACAGGAGCTCGCCTCATGAAGCCTGGGACCCTGGGACATACAGCCTGGAGGGGAGAGTTTTCATTTGGCGATCGAAGCAGGACTGGCCACACCACAGGCCCTTCTTCCCAGGAAACTTGACTTGATCAGCACATCTGGGAAGCATCCATGGGTGTAGACAGGAGAGAGAGGTGCCGTCCATCCCCCACCCCACCTCATCCCCCACCTCACCTCATCCCGCACCCCCCACCCCTCCTCCTCCTGCACCCACTTATCCATACACCCCACCTCATCCCCCACCTCACCTCATCCCGCACCCCCCACCCCTCCTCCTCCCCACAGTCTTCTCCACACTGCATCTCATCTCAGACCCCCATCTCACAGTATCAGGAAGGAGGGGTCCTGCTGTCTCGCAGCAGGGCCTTTCGGGTGTCCAGGCTAAGGCAGGCACTTTCTGGATCTAAGTAAGCCAGGCGCGGTGGCGTGGGGAACAGCACAGCCCCTGGGGCAATGCAGGCCTTCAGAGGGCCTGCCCCACACAGGAGCTGGCCGAGCACGAGGGCCTGCCCCCCCGCCCCCCACCCCCGAGGCTGCACGCTGCTTGCTAGCCTGGCCCCGGCTCCTGCTACAAGGGGTGAGGGAGGGAAGACAGGACACCTACAGCCACGATGAGGAAGTCCAGCCAGCACCAGGCGTTGGTGAAGAACTTGACGAAGCCGTAGGCCGTCCATTTGAGCAGCATCTCCAGGATGAAGATGTAGGTGAAGACCTTGTCCGCGTACTCCAGGATGGTGCGGATGGTCTTCCTCTGCTCGATGTAGATGTCCTCGAAGGCCTGAAAGACACGAGAGGCTGCCTAGTGAGGGGAGGTCTGCACACGGCTGGCTCTGAGGATACCCAGGCTCACGTGTCCATCGCATGAATTGATAGCATTTTCATCGTCCACCGAAAGAACTCACAGATCTCCCGCTCTCACCCTCTGGCTCCCACATTCTGCTGGTCTTCCATACGCTCATCACCCTTCTGGATATTTTGCACAAGCGGGGTGATCCAATACATGTTGTTTGTGCCTGGCTACTGCTGCTTTTTAAAGATTTCTTTTCTTTTCAATCACGTGTGTGTGTGGGGGGGGATGTGTGTGCGCATGTAGGTGCCCACGGAGGCTAGAGGTGCTGGCCTGCCTCTAACTGGAGTGACAGGCAGCTGTGGCCTGCCTGATGTGGGTGCTGGGAATGGAAGTCACGTCCTCTGGAAGGGCAGTGTGCACTCGTAATGGCCGAGCCAACTCCCCAGCCCCTATGCCTGGCTTCCTAACTAAACGTGGAGGTCTCAGTCTCCTCTTAGTTCCTGGATACCACAGGGGTGAGCGGACCGCCCCCAGCGGGTGGGAGAGTCTTCAGTGTGGAAGCCATAGTGCTATTTTCTTTGTATGGAACCCACGAAGGAGGAACCCTTCTCTTGCATGATGGGGGACTATGTAGCTGGGGTGCTAAGAGGACGCGTGATGCTCAGCTGTGACTCGTGTCAGCGAGAGCAGTTCCAGGGGAGACAAAAAAGATGGTTTTACCCTATGATGGGCTCAACTTCCAAACGGATTCCCCAGAGCTCCCTGCTCGTTGGATGAAGCAGCTCCCTGGGGATCTGGGGACGCTGTTCTGCCTGACACCTTCCCCTTGCTTCCTGTCCACCAGCAGCTGAACAATGCCCCCCCACACTCCCGCCACCATGGCATTCTACCTCCAGAGTCTCAGAAACAAGGAGCCAAAAGGGCCTAAACCTTCTGAGGGGATGAGCCAACCAAGCTTTCCTGTCGAGCATTTTGTCACGGGTGACATGAAAAGGGGAGGAATGCCTGAAAGGGGGGAAGCACCTCGGGGGCGGAGAGCATCCCCTGGCATGCTCGAAGAGGCACCTCTTTGAGCAGTCCCAAAGGAGGCAGCCAGGCCCTTCACAGCCTTCTGAAATGGAGGACTGGGGTGCAGCTCACCGGCTTGGCCAGCGCGGGCAGGGCCCCGTGTGCGTCCCAGCACCACAGGAAAGGAAAAGAAGAGGCACGTGGGCACCAGCTGAGCCACCTCACGCCATGAAGGAGCAGGGAGACAGCGGTCATGAGGCCCGACCCTTCCCATGGTCTTGGCCAAAGGAACTCTCTTTATTCAACTAAAAACCACCAAGGGCTTCCCTTAAGACAGAGCCCTGGAGAGAAGTCCGTTCTGTGAGAATGAGATGCTCAAGGATGGGGCCTCCCTCTGAGCTTCACTGGACATCAGAGCTATAGCTCCCCTTCAGCCGGGCAGCCTACCTGCCTGTCTCCCTCCCTTCCCTTCCTTCCTTTTCTTTCTTTGAGACAGGGTCTCTCTGTGAAGCCCTGGCTGTTCTGGAACTCACAATGTAGACCAGGATGGCCTCGAACCCACAGAGCTCCACATGCCTGTTTCCTGGTTGCTAGGTTAGAGGCGTGCGGTGCCAGGTGCACATCTGTTGGCTGTTCAGGGTCTTCTTGGTCCTCTATGAAAACTGCTACGCACAGCCCAGAACCTTGGGTCAGTGCTGCTTTGTTCTATGGTGCAGTCTGTGACCCGAGGAACGGCAATGCTGAACACCACCCCATTCTCCCACCAACGTCTGACAGACAGACAGTGCTACCTCACCTGGAGCCTCCGCAGCACCTCAGGAAGCACGGGTGACATCGTGCGGCATCTGACCCAGGGCGGGTGGGGTGGTCTGGCAGCCCACCGGCAGGGCAGTGTCTACCCTGCCATCCTGGGGGCCTCTTATTTACCTTCCTTCACAAACCTTCCTCTCGGCCCTCCCAGCTTTCCCTCCCTGGGCCACCACAGGGCATGCTTGCCCTGCTCAGCCTCTTAGTGTTTATCTGGCAAGCCAAGGAAGCCGCCTGGATTCCTGATCTCTTCAACACTGCCTCCGAGACCTCTCCCTTCCTCTTTTCACTCCAGGTTAAGCTCTGGTTTCACACCTTCTGTAAAACGGTCTCCAGGGGCCAGCGAGCTGGCTCATGAGGTGAGCGTGCTTGCCACCAGGCCTGATGACCCGAGTTCAGTCTTGGGGACCCGCACGGCGGAGGAAGAGAACCGGCTCTTGTACACCGCCCTCTGCTCTGGATTTCCCCACAAGTAAATGATCAAACCATCATCCACCCGACTCCCTTACGCCAGTCTCTGGGCAAAGGGTCCTCTGTGGCAACCCAGCTGAACATGGGGCAGATGGAGAGGGGAACTCTGCGCTCCATCCCTCGCGCCCGCCTGCTGCTGAGCAGGGCGGGCAGAGCAGAGCTGCGGCTCTGAGCACTTGCCATGCTGTGTGTGGGTTTTCCAGGGAGTGGGGGAGGACAACAGCCCTCCTGACTTGAGTCACAGAAATGAAGAGTGAGCAGGGGTGTGGAGAGGGAAGCTCTCTCAGGAGGCTGCCGGGGGCAGGGCAAAGCTGGCAGTGGCCTCAAGTGTGTGTCTCCATCCCCACGGAAAGGGCTTCTTAGGCTCGAGGGGTTCGCTAAGTCTTAAGGTCAGAAGAAGAGCAGAGTCATCTCAGAGCTCCAAACCCCTATTCTCGGGACCTCAGCCGATCGGTCCCCTCAAAGACGCTGGGCGTGAGGCCGACCTGGCCTCTGCTCACTGTTTCTTTGCACCCGCCTCCCCGAATCTCACCAGGGCGCCGCTGCTGAGCAGGATCATGAAGATGATGAAGGTCTCGAACCAGTTGTGCTCCACAATGAGGAAGCAGGTCTTCCGCAGGATCCACCAGGACTTGCCCAGCCCCTCCTCAATGTTCACCTGGCAGCACTTGAACCTCTGGACACAGCCTGCCACCAACGGAGAGTCAGGTCAGGAGGGGTTCAGGCCTGGGCAGCCACCACTGGACCCCGCACTTCCCTGCCACCCCCTCCCCACTCACCTACACCCCGAGCTGCCCTGCCCCCGCTCACCCTCCGTGAAGCAGGCGTCGGGATCCAGGTACTCCTCGGGCTGCTCCACGGGGACCTCCTCCACCTCGGGCTTGATGTCTATGGTGCTTCCTTCAGAGGAGCTGGTGTCATCCAGTTTCTAGACACAGAGAAGGAAGGGGTCAGGGGGTCATGCAGGAAATGTCCACCTCCTCAGTGCCACCTCTGCTGGGTCCTCGGACAGACAGACACTGCCCGCAGGGGCAGCTGGAGCAACACAGACACACTAAAGGGTTCGCCCTGGCCCCACACCTGCCTGCTCCAGAATCCACTGGACTAACTCAGGGTTAGCCCCGGGGCTCTGTCACCCAGGGAAGGCCTCGAGTGACCCTCGGCCCAGGGCTGCTCTCAGAGCAGAGCGGCTACTGCGGAATCCCGGTTAGGCTGCGGCCGAGCCGGGCCTTGGGGCCGAGAGGGCCCGACGTGCCCACACAGCAGGGCGTTCTCCCGGCCGGGCCTTACGTCTTTGCTGCCCTCGGGGTCCGACTCGCTGCTGACGTCCTCGGTGTTGAGGTTCTCGAAGTCGGACTCGCCCACGGCAATGGGCACGCGGACCGTGAGGTTCGGGTTGTTGATGAAGGACATGTGGTCCTCGTCGATGATGTACTTCTCCACGCTGCTGCCGATGCCGCTGGTCGTCCCATTGCCGTTCTTCTGGAAGTCGCCGTTGCGGTGGATGTCCACGCCGGTGTGGTTGGCGATGCAGTTGGCCTTCTTCTCGTCCAGCTCGTCCAGCGGCTTCACCTCCTCCGCCTCGCGCTGCTTGAAGTGCGCCTGCATGAAGGCGCGCACCTTCACCTTGGTCCAGGCCACGCCCTTCTTGATCCGGATCACCGAGATCTGCAGGTTGTTCATTTCGCCGTCGTCGTCCGTGGCCGCCAGGTTGTCCGCGCTGAAGGAGCTCAGCAGCAGGGCCAGGAAGAGGTTCAGCACCTAGCCGGCGGCATGGGGAAAGGGGAGAGGCGGGATCGTCTTAGGAGGTCGTCTACACTGCCCAGGCTTCCAGGTCGGAAGCCACAGAGACGGCAGAGAGTTTCTGTGTGCTCTGCGCGGCTCCTGTCACAGCTCACTTTACTTGTGTGTTTATTTTGTGTGGCAGACGGAATGCCCAGCCTTGTGCACGTGGGGTGAGCGGCGCCCCGGCACACTAACCTTGCAGCCCGACAAGGTATTTTAAACATTCATGTTACCGGACGGGAATTTTTAAAATTTTACCGTAAGGAACTTTGCACCTTTCTCGGCTCTTCTCTAGTTCTCCTTATGGCAAGAAGCAAAGGCTTCGAAAGGAAATTATCCAAAAATAAAAAGCAAAAGTCCCATGTGGATTATGGGGGGGGGGAGCAGGGGGAGGGTGCAAGTCATGAGTCTGTGACAGCAGTGTCTCAAGGGACCCGAGTTAGAAGAAAAACTTAGGTTTCCAGAGCCGTACTTTCATAAACAAACCAAGGAGGCCAAACCGAAATGTGCACGGCACCTTCCTTCAAGGGTGGCTCTGGAGCGTGGGGGCAGTTTAATGGCGGAACACAAGTTCAGCATGTGCCAGGGCCTGGGCTTGATCTCCAGAACACGTCAAAAAGTAAGCAAAAAGAAGGAGTCATCTCTGCTTTTTTAGGGGGAGGGGTGTTCAAGACAGAGTTTCTCTGTGTAGCCCTGGCTCTCCTGGATGTACTCTGTAGACCAGGCTGGCCTCGAACTCACAGAGATCCGCCTGCCTCTGCCTCCTGAGTGCTGGGATCACAGGCGCGCCCACCACACCGGCTATCTCCCCTTTCCTAACATTCACAAAACTACCTTTGCTGGGAGCAGTGGTCTGTACACTGGCTACATGGGAAGCTAAGGCAGTCCTGCTGGAGTTAGGGGTTCAAAGCCTGAGCAGGACAGTGTCTAACGCAGCCGGATGCCCAGCCGTCAAATGCAAGCTCTGTTTAAATTCCCTAGTCTCCCACATTGGATGGCGCACAGTACTGTTTTGCTCTCCAACAGCCCAAACTGGCGTCAAACCCCCATCCAGATGCTTCCATCTCCCAAGTGCTGGGGTCACAGGTGTGGATCACCTAGCTGGCTAAGTGTTCTTGAATGAAGGGGTGATAGGTAATGACCAAGATCTGAAGAACTCCTGCCTGTCAGCTACCTCAGAAGCGTGCGGCAGAGACAGACAGACACAGCCTGGTCGGGCTGGAGGCAGGCGCGTGGAGATCTGGGAGCCCTGAAGAAACCCCCACCTGGGGCAGGGCCTGGGATTTGGCCTTCTTACTGACCGGCCCTTGTGTGCTGATGATGCCGGTGGGTCCTAGGTCACTTTTCTAGCAACACTGGGTGAACCATTATTGCAAAGACTCGACCCAGACATACTGTGAAGAAAGCTGGAGGTGTAGAAATACGTGAAGAAATAAGTGTGGAGGAGGCACGCGCTGCCCCCTGAAAGGAGAGAACAGACCAGCGCCTAGGGGTGGCTGGTGGAGAATGCCAGGGGTCGCAGGAGCTCTGGGACAACCACTGTGACGGGAGAGCCTTGGCTGCCTCCAGGAACTGTGCCAGTGGGAGCTCGGGAGAAGGGAGTGGCCGAGCTCACGGGATCGTGCAGCTGCTTTTCCACGAAGTGTACATGAGCCACCCAGTGACCACGTGGCCATGTCTGTGGGCACTTTCGGCCATTGAAATTTGGGAGGTGCTGCCGGCAGCTGGTGGGCAGAGGCTGGGGGTGGTGCTAAGTTCAACCCTGCCCGAGAGGCCTACAGCCTGAGATCTAGGAAAAGGCGGCTTTCTGTAACTGGAAGGACAGGCAGGCGAAAGGCCCTGAAGTCTGCGGGCTGCGTGCTGGAGCTCGGGCCGGGGCGCCCTAACCTCACTGTTTGTTTTCTTCGGTTGTGACGGAGGGTCAGGAGGGTGGTGTGTCACGACTCAGCGGCATTCCAGTAACAGTCGTTTGTACCTTAAAGCAGACCTGGGCCGAGACGGAGACAACAGAGGAGGAAAGCGGTGGGGTGGGGGAGGAGCAGCGTGGCTGCAGCCGTACTCACCACCAGGTTGCCGATGACCATGACCATCATGAAGACGATGAGGCACATGGCCTGGCCGGCCACCTCCATGCAATCCCACATGGTCTCGATCCACTCCCCGCACAGCACCCGGAAGACGATGAGGAACGAGTGGAAGAAGTCGTGCATGTGCCAGCGCGGCAGCTGGCATTCCTGGTTGATCTTACACACACACTCCTTGTAGCTCTTGCCGAACAGCTGCATGCCCACCACGGCGAAGATGAAGACGATGATGGCCAGCACCAGGGTCAGGTTGCCCAGCGCGCCCACGGAATTCCCGATGATCTTGATCAGCATGTTCAGCGTGGGCCAGGACTTGGCCAGCTTGAAGACTCGGAGCTAAGGAGAAAGTAAGAGTGAAGCGAGGGCCCACTGCCTCGCCACGTGGCTGAAGTAAAACCTTAGGAAATCCTCAGAACTTCCTAATCGTGTCTCAGACTAAAAGATTAGATTGAGTCATGGGTGAGAGAAAACTGGCGAATTACAGAAATTGAGTGAACAGTAAGTCCAGGACCCAGGTCCTGTCTTTGGATTCTTACAGTCCTTCTGACTGGATTCTAGAGTTCTCATCTGAGGAGCAGGGGGTATAAAGTCTGCAGGAAAGTGTCAGGACAGTGAGCTAACCCTGAGTCACCTTAAAAAGACAAGCACTAGAGAATTCTAATGGTTTCCTTTCGCTTGCCAACAATTAGCCAACGGCCGACAGGAAAGAGCGAGGCGCTCAGAATAACTCGGGGCAAGCAGAGGCAGTGCCACATGCTCGAGGACGTCTGTGGAAGGGGCAGTGACGTCAGTAACTCGGAAAACCTAACTCCTGCTGCCTGTCAACCACAGTGCTTACATTCTGTAATAATTACAAATAGCCGAGAATTACAAGGCATGAAGCCATGGCCGATGGCTGTCCATCAGGGACACTGTCCGTGTTAGGTGTCACACTGCAATACACAGACACTGCAGCCATCGCCAGCAGTGATCTGTGCCAGCCAGGAGTGTGGGGCTTCTCTGGAAGCCCGAGAGTCCCCCGTGAGCCCTTCGGGGCCACTCAGAAGGTTTTCCCTACCTGGCTCCCAATTTATTCCCAATATAGTTTTCAGGCTTCTTCAACCTCAAAATTCTTTCCCTTGTCATTGAAATAAAACTATTTTTTTTAAAAAGTCAACAGTGGGCTGGAGAGATGGCTCAGGGGTTGAGGGTGTGGACTGCTCTGCCGGAGGACCCTAGTTCAAAACCCAGCACCCACATGGTGGCTCTAGTTGAAAAGGACCCAGAGCTCTCTTCTGATCTCCTCAGGGGCTGCATGCAGTGCTCAGATACACACCCAGGTAAAACACTCTCAGACACATAAAGCAAAAGCAGAAATCTCAAAAAAAAAGAAAGAAAGAAAGAAAGAAAGAAAATCAACTGTGGGCTAGATGTAAGCAGCCATCTCAGCAAGGCTGGTGTGTGTATCCCACGGCCGACCTCAGTCAGCGCTTTCTCTGGGGAGCGGACTACCTCAGCAAGAAACCCGCAGGTCCTGGCCTGACTGAGATACAGCAAGGTCCTACAGTCCCCTCACGCCATTCACGCCGTGCTGAGGGCTGCTCTCCGCAGACGGCCTTAACCTCTCCAGAATTACTTAGCAGCATTTTCTTATATAATACATTAACAGAAACTACATTAATTACCCATAACACGGAAGGTGAAGTCGATGGTCACCCACTAACTTCAACACAATCTGAGAAAACATCTTACTTTCAGTCTCTGAAGGGGTTACCACACAAAAGTGAAGAAAACCATCTCTGAACACAGAGATTCTCTTCACGTCAGGGCAAAAGCCAGAGAAAAACTCAGTCGCCCACCCAACGATTTCAGAAGGCCCTGGGAAGTCTTCGTCCTCTGAATTAATCATTATTTTTCTAAGAGACCTCTAGAAAACTGATTTCTTTTGTTCATTATCAAGCCCTAACGTTTACACGATATTGCACTTAGCAGAAAGGCTTTCAGGGTTTTAGAGGAGAAGCCAACCACGAGGCCAAGTGCGGTGGGGCAAGGCACGCCTCAGGGGACACGCCCCGTTATCTTAGACGCGTGCTGGGTCGGGAAACGTGCAGAGAGATTGCAGAAATCTGGAATACCAGTCGGAAAGACCGCAGCACGGACAGCCCCTCCACGTCCGCGAGACCCAGCTCCATCAAGCTGAGCGACACGATAAATCCGTCAAAAATGTTCCAGCCTTCTTGGAAATAGTAGTAGGGGTCCATGGCTATGAGCTTCAGAAACATCTCCGCCGTGAAGATCCCGGTGAACACCTGAGGGGGAGGCAGGAGGTCAGGAGGAGGCACCAGAAAGAGCACGCCTGTATCAGCTCCCTCAGCCCAGCACAGCCCAGAATCAGCAGCCAGCTTTGGCCTCGACGCTGCTGGACAACGACACCTGGATACCCCAGCGTCACCGCACTGGTGCAGGGGTATCGGCTGTAACTGTTCACCATCAGCCCTAAGATTACCACAGGCAAGAAGACACAGACGCCTGTTAGGCTTCATAGCTGCCTTATTCACCTTGCGCTGCGCAGATATTTCACCTACGCTGGCTCAATAACCTCACCATCCACCTCCCAGCCCCACCCAAAGCCGTCCGCCTTAACCATCCTCGTCTGGTCCACCTTCCATCCATAGTCCCATGGCACTTGCTTGTATTCTTCATCTGGGACTCCCACACCATTACTGGAGTCCTGTCTCTGGGCCCATGTAGTTTCTTCTCCACGCTGACCCATCGCCAACTTCTCCTTCCTCTCCTCCCACCCATTTGTCTCCCATGCTTCTCCTGAGCCCGAAAAGCCTCAGCCAAACCTACCCCGTTCTGCCCTGCCCAGGTATCCGCTGTTTAATCACCCAATCAGGTGTGTCTTAGGCAGGTTTACAAAGCAAGGACAGGTGTAACCAGACTTGAGGGCCAGCATTAGAACTACCCCCAAGGGTCTCTTTTTGTTTGAATGAAGTTCTCAGCCCCAGGTTTCTACCTCTGTCACTCAGTTGCTAATGTGCAGCTCGCAGTTAAGAACTAACCTAAGCCATCTGAACAGGGTGAAGGGCACCTCCGCCCCTCAAAGACTTGCAGGCATTTGGTGGCCTGTTTTTATGGGGAGCAACTATAATCAGCAAGATGCATCTATATCTCAAAGCAGCTAGAGGATTTGCAAAGTTTCCACAAAGACAGGGAAGTGCTCGAGGCAACGGATCTGTTAATCGCTCTGAACTGACCATGGTAAAGTGTCTACAGCCGAGCCCTATAGACACACAACTGTGTATCAGCTAAAAGAAAGCAACACTTGTAAAAATTCTCCTAGTTTTTATGTTCACAATAGACTGTATCATTTCTGATTTGCTATTATACGTCACCAGACTTAGCCATGTGCTGCAGGTTATGTGGAAAAAAAAAAAAAAAAAAAAAGCCATCAGATATTGGCCAAAGTGTATAAAGGCAGAAAAAGCCCGCAGTCTCTCCATTTTCCACGATCTTTCTGAGGTTTTAGGGCATAGATGCTGCTTTACAGGTGATCTTGGTTGGGCCTAATTCCCCAGCTGTCGCAGCTCCATGCCTGCTGCCAAGCTCCTCCTGATGCGTTCTGCTCCCTGTTACTGTTTCACCAGCTGACGAGGCACGCCCTCACTGTGGGGGGGCCACACTGTGGGCATGCGGGGGAGGGGCAGCCCTCACTGTGGGCATGGGGGGCAGCCCTCACTGTGGGCATGGGGGGGCAGTCCTCACTGTGGGCATGGGGGGGCAGCCCTCACTGTGGGTATGGGGGGGCAGCCCTCACTGTGGGCATGGGGGGCAGCCCTCACTGTGGGCATGGGGGGCAGCCCTCA